TGTGTGTGTGTGTGTGTGTGTGTGTGTGTGTGTGTGTGTACCTGCATGTGTTTTTTACACTGCATGTGTTTTTTACACTGTGTGAGTGCAGGTGCCTACGGAGGCAAGAAAAGGACATTAGATCCCCTAGAACTGGAGTTACAGGCAGTTGGTAGCTGCCCAACATTGGCACAGGGACCCAAACCCAGGCCCTCATCAAAAGCAGTATGTGCTTTTAACCACGGAGTCATTTCTCCAGTTCCCTATTCTATATCTTTGATATGTCCAATTTGTGTTCAAACTTAACATATTTTGTCCTCTCTCCAGTTTGACGTATCTATAAGTGTAGTTTTCTAGTCATATAGAAATCTTGACGTCTCTGCTGACTGCTTTCTCTCTCACACATCCAGACCATTAGCAATTCCTGTCCACTCACTGTGGGTTAGGATACAGAACGGACCATTTCCCACCACCCTCTGAGTGGTTACTACAGCCCGAGTCCTCCATCCTCTTGTCTAGGTGACTTTAATGGCTTCTTTATCCATCTTCCTGCTTCACTGTTACAGCAGCAATCAATGATCCTCAGAAAACATTGTTCAGGGCAAGGGGTATAGCTCAGTGTAGAGTACCTGCTTAGGATGCACAAGGCCCTGCTCTCAATTTCCAGTACTAGAAAAAGATTTTAAGTACATTTTTTGTTCAAATTTCTCTAGTAGTCTTCCATCACATTTTTAATAAAGTCTAAAAAAATAATCCTTAATGTGGGCTACAAGATTTTGAATGGTTTAGCCTCTGACAACTGTTGTGAGTTCAACTCCTATGACCTTCCTCATCTGGTCCAGACTCAGCAGCCATGTGTCTGTCTTTGGGCACATGAAGCATCTCCCTGTCTCTGTACTTGTTCTCTCGGAATGGAATGCTCTTTGTATGGCTGTCACGTGCTCTATTCCTTCATTTCATTCCCTTTGCTGCTCAGAAAAACCTCCTGACTATATCTTGCCTTTCTTTACTCATTCTTCTTATTATTTGGTTTTCTTTTATGGTTCTTGCCTCTACTTAACATTTTCTATTATTTCCTCCACTTCTAAAAGCTAATTCATTAAAGAAAGATCTATTTTTATTTTTGCAGTATCTGTAGGACCTAGAACATTACTGTGGCATCCCATGTTTGTTGAGTGAATAAGAGAAAACTATTTTTCTCCATCTTTTAGAGTGTATATATTATATCTTATGATAATATATGTGTATATATGCTAACTGTATTTACACTGTTTTGCCAGCATTGCCAGCATCCATCTCTAAAACTCTTCCTCTTGGAAAACTAAAGCTCTGTGCACCAGCCCTGTCAACCTCTATTCCACTTTTGTTTCGTAAAATGGTTTTTATGTTTCTTTTTTTATTTTGTGCAGGATGGGGTGTGGGTACAGTGTCACAGCGTTTGTGTGGAAGAGTTGGTTCTCTTTCCACTATGTGGGTTCGAGGATGGGGCTGGGATTGTCAAGCTTGTGGACAAAACCCTCACCCCTGTACTGCCTCACCAGCCTGCTGGCTACCCTCTGTCTGGGTCTGCTCTTAACTAGTTCTGGCTTATTTTTGTCTTTGTTTTTAATGAATATTTTTAAAATTACATTTTAATTTTGTGTGCATGTGTGTGCAGTGGTGGGGTGGGGTGCCTCAGTTCATGTGTGGAGGTCAGAGGATAACTTATAGGAATTAGTTATCTCCTTTTACCCTAGGGGGGCCAGGCATTGAACTCAGGTTCAGTCCTGATGGCAGATGCATTTTATGGCTGAGCCATCTGGCAGACCTTGTGTCCAGGGTTAAACCCAGGGCCTTGCACATGCCAGGAACGATTACTATATCACTGAGTCATAGCCCAATCCTGACTTTCTCTCTTTAGGGGCAATATTTAGTCATGAAGAGGTAAGGGTTAATAGTTGAGGAGTCAGATCACTCCTGGGGACTCTTTTACTAAGTGCCTGGCACTGTTAGGTGCAGTAGGGACACACAAGGACCAGCCCCCACAGTTCATTCTGTTGAAATAAGAACCGTATGTGTGGTGTGTTGGGGGTGGAGCCCAAAGGTTTTGGCTCCTCTACCATTAAGGAAACAGTGAGCACAGAAAGAAGAGGAAAGAAAAGGCAGGTATGGTGATGTCCACCCAGCTGCATTACCAGCAGAGGCTCCGGAATGCAAGGTCGCCTCGGCTGTTAGTAAGCTTGGAGCCGGCCTCAGCTACATGACCCCCTCGCCTCAAAACAAGGGGTCTGGAGAGATGGCTCAGCACTTAAGAGCAAGACTGCCGGGCCAGGTGGTGGTGGCGCACGCCTTTAATCCCAGCATTCGGGAGGCAGAGGCAGGTGGATCTCTGTGAGTTCAAGGCCAGCCTGGTCTACAGAGTGAGTTCCAGGACAGGCACCAAAACTACACAGAGAAACCCTGTCTCTAAAAAAAAAAAAAAAAAAAAAACCCAATAAATAAATAAATAGATAGATAGATAGACATAGATAGATAAATAAAGAACATGGCTGCCTTTGCAGAGGACCTAAGTTTGGCCCCAGCATCCATGTGTCACAGCTCACAGCCATCTCTACCGCCAGCTCCAGGGATCTAAAACCTTCCGGACTTCTGGACCCCACAGGCCCCTCCACCTATGTGCACATGTCCACACAGAGACACATAATTCAAACAGTAAAGCTCGGAAACAGCAACACCACACACAGAATATTGCATATCTTCTTGAGGCTAGGCACACCTATAGGAACACATTTTATCTCTGTGTCACTGAAAACTGAGATAGGTGTAGATGGGAATTTTGTACTTTTGAGTTATTTCCTATTTCCCTCTTTGTTTGTGTTTTGGTCTGGAGTCATTTCTACTTAATAGGAAAAGATGCCTTTTAAAGGTAAAAATGACAACTGAGCCCCTTTCAAGCATATAGTGTACTCACGATGATGGACAGGCTCTACTCCAGTGCAGTCCCAGAGCATCTTCAGCACTCTCAGAGAAAGCCCAATGTTTACTAAGAAGGGTTTTGTTTTGTGTTGGACAGTTCTGCTTTTCTCTTACTCGGCTCATCTATCTTTGGCCTCTATGAATTTACCTGAGGATATTTCACGTAAATGCAGTCACACAACATGGGGCCTTTGCGTCTGCTTTGTCACGGGTCTAGCAGAAGCTCACGAAAGCTCCCCCGACTGCACTCACCTTTATGCACTGAGCTACCTCACCACTGCCCACCTCCTTTTTCCTTTTATTTTTCGAGACAGGGTTTCTCTGTGTAGCCCTGGCTGTCCTGGAGCTCACTCTGTAGACCAGGCTGGCCTTGAACTCAGAGATCCTCCTGCCTCTGCCTCCTAGGTGCTGGGATTTTTAGTAACTAGGCGTGTACAACTGTGCCTGGCTCCTAGTTTAATCTTATTTTGAAGCCTAGTTACTAAAAATAGGTTTGTTGCTGTTGTTCAGTCTGTTTGCCCATGAGAGATCTATAGTTCCTTTAATGGTTTCTACCTTTATCATTAGCAAGATTTCCTAGTCAGTTTTCAAAGTAGGTTCCAAATGGATCTGTTCATATCTCAAAATCAATTGGTTTCTCTGTCTCTTTATCGTGTGTGTGTGTGTGTGTGTGTGTGTGTGTGTGTGTGTGTGTGTGTGTGTGTGATTTGAGTTAGGATTGGTAGTAGCCCTGGCTGGCCTAGAATACATTATATTCTAAGCTTGCTTCAAACTTGTGGCAGTCTCTTGCCTCTGCCTCCCAGGTGGTAAGGTTACAGGCCTGCGAGGGGGTCACCATATCTCAAAATCTCATTTTAATATTTTCCATTAGCATACGCCTTGTTTTTGTCCTGATGTGGAGCTGAAGTGTTTAGAAAATGATCATAATTGTTACTCCTACATCTTTTGGTCAGCTTTCAGAAATCCTAAAGCCTAGGTTGCATTCCATGCCAATTAAATGAAAACATCTGGAGGAGGGAGCCCCAGGCATTGGTTTTTTGAAGACTGCCAAATGATTCCAGTGTGTAACAAGATAGAAACACTGGCTTTCCTTACTAGCCATGAACTAGCTTAGTTATCACCTCCAGTTATCAACTTACTTGTTAGGGTTAAGTGGATGACTTATAATAATGAATAATGTATTAATTCACTTTAAAAATGTCTGCATGTTATATAAGGGTATCACAGTTATCACTGTAAAAAAAAAAAAAAAGTCCTGAACTCATATTTGAGCTGACAGCTTTTACCACTTTCAACTCCTGATGAATCACGTTGTCTCTTTTTTTTTTTTTTTTTTTGGTTTTTCGAGACAGGGTTTCTCTGTGTAGCTTTGCGCCTCTCCTGGAACTCACTTGGTAGCCCAGGCTGGCCTCGAACTCACAGAGATCCACCTGGCTCTGCCTCCCGAGTGCTGGGATTAAAGGTGTGCGCCACCACCGCCCGGCCTACGTTGTCTCTTAATCCGTCAGGGTATGCCTTTTCCCTTACAGTTCAGGGGCGTTGTGTGTGTGCGTGTGCGTGTGCATGTGTGTGGGTGGGTGCAAGAGTTCAGTTGTGTTAGTCTACAACTCACCTTCCTGTCCTTGCGGCATAAATGAAGTGAAGTTTTGTTTGCATGTGTATATGTCATCTGAATTCCTTTTTAAACTTTTAAGTTTTATTGTTTGTTTTGAGACGGGATCTATCTCAGTGTAGCCTATGGTACATGAGCCTCTCTAAGTAGCTAAGGCTGGCTTTGAACTCCCAACCCTCCTGCTTCCACCTCCCAAGTGCTGAGGTTACAGGCATGTGCCACCACATCTGGCTGTAATATATTTAAATATATAATAAAAGGCAATATTTTAAACTTGGTGGATCTGACTCGATGAGTGTGCTCTAAAGAGTGATAAAATGTCCTAAAATCGGGACTTCAGTGAAGAAGTGTAATTTATAGCCACGTGCACAGATTATCTATAGACAACTTGCCCTCTTTGTGTGAAGACTGTCCCTGAGAGGCTGAGAGTGAGTAAACAATCCTTTCTTTCTAGATCTTCATCTGCTGGTGGACGTGGCCTGCAAGCAGGAGCACTTTCCAAAGGAGGAAGAGTTAAAAGAGTGAGGCGGCGTGGATGGCAAATGTGGCATTGTGCACTAGCCGGGCTGGAGGCACACTAGTCTTGCACATGACACACTGTTGGGATTTTTTCAGTTCTGTTAAGGAAAAAAAAGTATTTTTTGTTTTGTTAATTGAGATTTTGTTAAATTGAAAATTGGGAGTTTGGTATTTACTACAGCTGTTCAGTTCAGATTGCGTACCTTGACAAACTGTTTAAACATCCAGCGGCCCCCCCCCCCCTTTTTTTTTTTTTTTTGCTGCCCAGATTCCTTTCAAATGAAAAGAGTCCTGGCCTTCAAGAAGCGTCTCGGCCATGCCGTGTTGGTGGCCCTGGAGCCACGGTGTGTGTGTGCTGAGCTGGGAAGCCCTTTTGAACTGTTGTCAGCAGTTTCAAGTCTGTCTCAAGTCACAGTGTGGTCCTTCAGGGAAGATGGTGTGATAAACAAAGGCACGTGAGGTCACCAGGATCGCAAGTCCAAGCGGGTCAGGAATCCAGGGAGGAAGTTCTGGAAAAAGCTCATTTTCTAAGTGGTTAACCAAGAACTTCTCTTGTTTCTGAACCCCACGTCCTGTTTCAGGACCAAGGCATCTGGACTTGGCCCGTCCATCACATTAACAGCCTCTGGTTCTTTAATAGTAATGGGAGTGTTTTTCCATTTTCATGTCTTTCCTTAATTTGAATGATAAATTATCATAAATAGTAAGAAAGTTTTGTTAATATCACTTACATAAATGTCTTCTAAAGAAAATATTTAATTTGTTTAATTATATTTATAAATGCTGATAGATTTTAAAGTTTTAAAGCTTTGTATTTTTATTAACATTGCAGAATAGAAGGATTAAAGGGTACATGTGTAATTTTATTTTTGAAGGGTAAATACAATATGTGAACAGAAACACTGAGGTATAACAGTGTTTAGATTTTTACATTCAGCAAGTATAAATTCTTACCTGCGGAAGGTATTGTGTGCAAATTTTGGGGGGGGGATCGCTTCATTGTCATTTACCAGAAGCTATGCTTTAATTTTTGAGAAGCAGTTTATATTTGATACATTAAATGGCTTAAGCTTCTGGGAGACCTTTGGATAGTTGGGTAGACTATTATCATTTTTTCTTTCCCCTGTAGGACTGTACATTTGATTACTAGGATTGTGTGACTTTTGAAGGAGGAGAGGGACATTTTGGATGTCCAATTTCTGTAGTTGATCCATGTCTACCAAATGACAGCAAGAACTTTCCTGATTTGAGGTATTTTAAGTTGACTAGAATGTTCTTGTTGAATCTACCTCAATTTTCCTAATAAGGGCTGCAGAAACAAAAGGAAATCCTGAATTTAAAGCTAGCAAAAAAGAAACAGCACTTAATAATGGCGTAAGCACTGTATTAGCCATTCCTTGCGTGGCACTGTGCCTTCCCAGTGATATCAGACCTAGACATGCTACAGAGCTCTAGCTGTTTTGGAAAGGGTAAGCTCTGCATTGCTGTACAGCGACTCAGTTTCGATTTGAAAGTAGGTTTTGATCCATCTAATTAGACTAGTTGGTGCTCATGTCTTGGGCACTTACTCATCTTTACTAGTAAGCCTTGAAAGATGAACTGATTATCAAGACATCCACATCTTGTATCTGTGCCACATACCTTGGCAAAGTATGTGAAAAGGAGACCCGGTGTCCAAATGAAGGAACTTTGCCTTTCCTCTGTCACATTGAAGAGCTGGTAAGCTGTGTAGGTGATATTTCTTCTCCTCAAAATGCCTTTCTTAGCCTTACGTGTATCGAAAGAGATGACACCTTTTGAGGGACACGTGTCAAGCAGGAACCTTGGCACAGACATGGCTTCAGTGGTTTTAAGGTTTGATCAATGAAATGCCTTGATCAGCTTTCCAACCTTTTTTATATATGAATACACCAGAAAGGAGCTGGATCTCCTGCTCTACTCACATGCCTGGAACCCATCTCCTAAAGCTCTCATCAGTGACTTGTGCAAATGGCAGCAGCAAAGTGGAATCTGCACGGGAATTAGCCAGTAGGGCCTGACACATACTGAGAAAGTTCCCGTCTAGCACCTCAAGCACCAATCAGTTTCAATCAGTCAACAATAAAATGAATGTTCCAACCAGACCTCTTGTCCTGCTTGTTTTACTTTGGTTTTTCTTTTTTTTGATAACCAGTAGAAAATTCAGTCATTATAAGCATTCATGCTGGTGAACTTCAGACAATACATTCTGCTTTTCAAAAAAAAAAAAAAAGTCTAATTTCTCTTCTCTCTCTTTTCCCCCAGCAGTTCTGGAGACGAACCCAGAGCCTGGCATGCATGTGAAGCAAGCACTGTACCTTGTCTCCCTTCCTTGGTTGTTTTGAGACAAGGTCTTGCTATATAGACCTGACTAGCCTTAAACTTGGAGGGATCCTCCTGCCTCTCTGTATCTGGAGTTCTGCATTTCAGATGTGTGCCACTATACACAGTCTCGTTTCTTCTTCTTACTTCTTTTAAACATTGCCCTGAAGCTGTAACTCAATTGGTGGTGTACAGGAAGCCCCGGGCTTATGGTTAGCACCACGTAAAGCAGATGTGCGGGTGCATACCTGCAGTGCCGGTGGAGGTGGATGCAGGAGAGTCAGAACTTCACGGTTATTTTTGGCTGCATAATGAGTTTGAGGTCAGCCTAGGATACATGAGACCAAGATACTATCACAGCAAAGACAAACAAACAAAACAAAAAACTGTCCAGACCTTTAAAAACTATTTTGAATAATGATTTAAAATGTAAATGTTTCCACCGGCCAGTGGTGGCGCAAGCATTTAATCCCAGCACTGGGGGGGGGGGGGGGGGGGGGGGGGGGGGGGGCGTGCGCGGCATAGGCAGGCAGATCTCTGTGAGTTCAAGGCCAGCCTGGTCTACAGACCGAGTTCCAGGACAGGCTCCAAAAACTACACAGAGAAACCCTGTCTTGAAAAAAAAAAAAAGGAAATATTTCTAAGAATAAAGACAGTTCTTATTATACATATTTTGCAGAATCCTGGGTTTTAGAAGAGGATGAACAGTCTTCAACAACTAGTCAATCCAGATAGGAAAGGCGGTCATTAAGGATGGTCTGTCTCCTATGTGACTGAGGCTGAGGATGCTCTTGGTGGTGGAGCACTTGCCTAACATGCACAAGGCCCTAGATTTAAACCTCAGCACACAAAAGAGAAGTAAATGTCAGTAAGACGGGCTTTTCACTACCACAGCAGTACCATCTTGATGACATTTCCAGGGACGTTCTATGGCATTCCAAACCTAATTTCAATAACATTTTTTCTTGTCATTTTGGTGATCCAAATGAACTAGATTATCAGTGCATCAGAATACATAGAACTGTTTGGCTTGACCCTACTAAGTCTTTCATGGTCCCAAGCTCATGATAATTTTGTCATCATTCCCAGATTTCAGAAGTTCCTCAAGAGAAAGCAACCAGGTTTATAATTTTATATTTTATTTTTCAACTAAATATATATGTTAACTCTTAGTTAATTACTTGTGAGTTTCCAAAGGGGAAAGGCGAATCTGCTTAGAGGTTGCTATTTAGTTTCCCTTAAGCTTAAATATATTTTACCTGTATCAGTGACCTGTAATAATGTGTAGTTTTCATTATTTTGATATGCAATTATACAACATGCAAAAGTAGATAAACAATAGATTTTTAAGAGAATTATCTCCTGCTGAGATGTTGAATTGGCTGTTATCCTTTGGGATAGGAGTTGCGAAAGGGCTATATAGTTATGCCCTTAACATCCGACAAGAGAGGAAAAGGTGTGAAATCGATAATTCACTTGAAGGGCTGCAGAGATGGCTCAGCCGTTAAGAGCATGCACTCCTCTTGCAGAGGACCTGAGTTCAGGTCTCAGCAGCCACCCTGGGTAGCTTACAGTTGCCCATAACTCCATCTTTAAGGAAATCCTATACTCTCTAACCTCCTCGGACACTTGGACACACATGCACAGATGTACACATAAATAAAAATGTTTGTTTTTTAAAAAATGCATTTCCTTTTTTAAGTTTAGTTCGGTCACAGGCACTGGTGAATGTGTGCATGAAATGTCAGTCTGTTGCCGTGGTTAGAAGCCAAACATCTGGGCTGGTGAGATGGTTCAGCAGGAGGAGCAGCATGCAGTCTTGATGACCTCCAAACTGGACCCCCAGAACTCAGGTAAAGACAGGAAAGAACTGCTTCACGAAACTGTCTTCTGACCTTCACACATGCTCCCCCACATACATTATACACACATGCTCCCCCACACACATTATACACACATGCTCCCCCACACACATTATACACATATGCTCCCCCACACACATTATACACACATGCTCCCCCACACACATTATACGCACATGCTCCCCCACATACATTATACACACATGCTCCCCCACAAACATTATACACACATGCTCCCCCACATACATTATACAGACATAATTACATTCAAAAATTTTAAACAAATTTACTTCAGAGCTAGACTTAGTGGACTATGTTTGTAATCCCAGCACTCAGAGGTCTAAGCAGGAGTATCAGGAGTTATAGGCTAGCCTGGGCTAAAAGCAAGAGCTCCTTTTCAGAGAAAAAAAAATGTTTAGAATCTTCTCCAGGTTAGTTATTAACTATAAAATTCTGAGACTGTCTTAAACCTATATAGAAACATCAGTGGGTAACTTCATGCTTTCGGGACACACCTTCACCTTCACAACAGGTCCATTAGTACAGTCATCCGCAGGGCTTATTTTTGACACAGGGTCCTGCTAGATGTCTCTGATTGACCCCGAACTCACTCCACAGCCCAGGCTGGCCTCCAGTCCATAACAGGCCTGCTGATCAGTTTTGTGAGTACTAACATTACAGGTATGAGCCACCATGCTTGGCTAATCTGCATTTTACACACGACCAAACAGAAAGTTAAAACACAGAAATGTATCACAATCGTTTAAAATGTATACATTTCAATAGAGTTAACTTGTTCACATTGTTGGTTGTGAGTTCAAGAATGAAATATCTAACCATGGGGCTGGAGAGATGACTCAGAAGGTAAGAGCACCAACTGCTCTTCCATAGGACCAGAGTTCGAATCCAAGCATTCACATAGTGGCTTACAAACATCTGTAACTCTAGTTCTTCAGGATTTTTCTTTCTTTTTTTGGTTTTTTGAGACAGGATTTCTCTGTGTAGCTTTGGCGCCTTTCCTGGAACTCACTCTGTAGCCCAGGCTGACCTCCAACTCAAAGAGATCTGCCTGCCTCTGCCTCCCGAGTCCTGGGACTAAAGGCATGCTCCACCACTGCCCAGCCAGTTCTTCAGGATTTTACACCCTTTTCTGGTCTCTCACACACACGGTTTGCAAATATACATGCAGATAAAGCCTCCATACATGTAAAATAAAATTTAAAAAATGTCTGACCACAGTCAAATATAATTTTGTAAATTTAAATATTATAATAAACATCCTATATCAAGATTACTATAAAGAACTATATTGTGTGAATGTAGTAATTAGCTGAAACTAGTTTTCTTTTTGCCTATACTGTTTTCATTAAGCATATTTAACTTTTTAAAAAAGATTTATGTGTATGGGTGCTTTGCCTGCAGTGCCTGTGGCGGTCAGAGGAGGCATCAGGTCCCTGGATTTGGAGGTGTAGATGGTTGTGAGCCACCACGTGGGTGCTGGGAACTGAATGAGCAAGCAGCAAGTGCTCTTAACCACTGAGCCATTGCTCCAGCTCCAAGCCTAAGTCAAATTCTTGGCTGGTATTATGACAGACTAACTCACAGTCTTACACTGGAAGAATAAGTCTGACCCAAAGACTGAGAAGGAAGTAACAGGTGCCAGACTTCTGAAAGATTCATACAGGTACAGTTTGGACAGAACTACTGGACTTACGTTAGTAAGACCTGAAGAAAAGCTCTGTGGAAAGTGCACAGAAGCTTTCCACAGTAGTGCCTGCCGTGTAAGATCTCTCAATCCAGTCTTTGCGCCATTTACGGACACTAAAACATGGAAAGAACAGAAATATATTTGAACTTGTGTTTGCAAGACATTGCGCCATTCTGTTGTTTTTGTGGATTTTTATGATTTCTGTTTGTTTCTTCATACCGCCGTCTGTGCTCTGTTGCTTACAGAATCCGCTTAGATCTGTTTGAGTGGCCCTGATTTATATGCTGTGGGAAAGGTAAGGGCTGATTGAATGGAGTGCAGTTGGGCTGTGGCTCGCTAGAGGGAGTAAAGGAGAGAGAGACAGGAAGAGAGCGGGAGAAGACTTGGTTAAGTTTGTGAGTGCGTGCCCCGAGAGGAGGAGGGGCGGGCTTGCGTGGGGCTGCTCCACCCTCACGTTGTCAGCAGGTAGAGAGCGTGATTGCTGTCCCAGGGGAGGGAGTCGGAGCTAGAACACCAATTACCAACCACAGGCTTCCTGCTGTAGGGAGCTGATCCAGAATTGTCCTTCTGGAAAGGAAGCACTGAATCCTTCCTTCTTCTGAACTTCCCAAGTCCATCCATGATTCAGAGATACCGCCTTCTCCCTCTGGGATTTTCTGTGTTTCTGGTAGTGAATTGTTGTATTTACTACTTTGTTGTCTTTCAAGAGCTGATCATTTAATATTCTTTACCGAAGCGGGGGCGGGGGGACTTTTGTTAGATTTCAGAGATGATTTTGGATCTTCTTGAAGCATTTCCAGAGTTCTTGAGGACGGTAGCTCTCGTCCTGGAATAAGTTTCTACCTTTGATCTGCGTGGATTGCTTTTTCGGGCTTCGGAGTTTCTCCGCACCTACCTGTAGTGCGGGCGGGCACTTGGTCTGACTGCAGAGCGGAGGTGGAGGAGAGCCGCTCTGGGTTAAGCAGCCCAGATCTTTTCAAAGCAGGATTTATAAAAGCATAATTGAATTTGTTTCACCCCCGTGGATTCCAGTGGGCCCGACAGCGCAACAGGTTTGCAGATTTCTTTTGAAATTCTTTTTTTTGTTTTCTCCCTCCCTCTGTCTCAGCAAAAGTAAGGAATCTGTATAGCAGGTTCACGCTCAGTTGCTTGGCTTTTTGGCACTTCTGAAGACTTTGTAGGATTTTTTAACTTGGCCTCAGAATGCAGCAGGCTTTGTGGGTGAAGTGCACGTATAGTTACTTAAGCGTGCGCATTTTAAAATCTGATGTTTATACAAGAATCTGAAGTTTCATAGGA